GCCAACTGTTCGCATACTTCTTATCATTGCCCTTACCCACAGCTGGCCAATCTTACAATTTGATATTGCTAATGCCTTTTTACACGGAGACTTACCAGACACGGTCTATATGAAGCAACCACAAGGATTTGTTGATGAACAATTTCCTCATTTTGTCTGCAAATTGCATAAGTCCCTATACGGACTCAAATAAGCACCGCGGTAGTGGTTTGACAAGCTCACAACCTCTCTTACAGATTTTGGATTTGCTATTAGCAAATATGATCCCTCACTTCTTATATACAATCGAGATCATATCTTGTGGTATCTACTTATCTACGTTGATGATTTGCTTCTTATAGGCAATGATAGCTCTACAATGCACTCTCTCTTACAGAAGCTCAAATCAGAATTCTCCCTCAAGGAACTTTGCTCCATTTCAAAGAATGTTTGGTTTTCAAAAAAGATTGCAATGAGCTCAAGTTTCTTTTGTTCATGAGGTGGGCTATGAACAAACATTAAACACCCAACAATTTTGAAAAGAGTAGTTAACACAAGTCTATTATTGAGGTAGAATTTGAGGAGAATTTGACAAGAGATTTTAAATTTGAGAATTTTTTATGTTTTTTTTGGAATTTAATAAAATTGTAACTCGATAAAATGCCTAAATTAATGTTAGAACTAAATCAAGATGTTATTCTAATGAATTTTTTTAGCAAAAGAATTAAAGAGCAAAGATTCAAATAAAGAGTCACTAGAATGGTATTCATAAATCAGAGCTATCATAAATAGGTGGATAATTAGCAAGGAAAATAGCAGAAGACCATGAACACACTACTAAGTAATTTTGCTCATGGAATCAAGACCATTTCTTTGATTTTTGGATTTGAACCATATATTCACCTGCATGCAAAATATTTTTATAATAGTAAATTACTTTCGCATGAGGTGTTAATAAGAAGGCATGCCAACATTAAGTGATTGATGGATTTCAATATAGAGTAGAACCACAATAAGGAAATATATATTCAAATCTGAAGCACATGCTACCATTGCAAGCTAAATCACGTCAATTATAAACCTTATACTAACTAGAATAGCAGACTCAGCCCCGTCACTTAGGCTATCACTCGCTTGTTGCTAGCAGGTGTGAGTTTAAGTGTACATAGCAGAAAAGTAAATATGCATGCTATGCTCGTAGGAAATAAAGGCGAGTTCATTAAATTATAAGGTCAACATATCCTAGAAACCTAACATTTATTTAGATAAAAGCATATGCATGCCAAGAAACTTAAGAAAAAGTAGCAATCTCTAATTTGAAATCATATATAATCAACAATCATCAAAGTGTATATTGTTAGCACACTCAACGACTATCTTCACTACTGTGTGGACCACCTGCTGCAGCCGCACTCCAGCTCTCTTTTATCCCTGTAGCACAGTCTGGTGCCCAACAGCTTTTGCATACTTTGTCTCCTATCTTCCTCTCTATAAAATGTATTCAGCTGGATGAGAACATATATGAAAAATATACTATCTGCTACAGTAAATTCTGCTTCCTTCTTCTTCTTCTTGAAGGTTCTCTTGATCTTGCAACTCTCTTCATATATAAGAAGAAGAAAATATATGTGGCAAATGACAAGTAATATATAACCCAAGATTTATAGGAAAGTAAAAGTTGTCAAGCTCCACTATCAACAATCTTATATTTCTACTTCCTAAAATGATGCAAGCCTTATACACAAAAAAAGACGAGTTTGTTTATTTGTCTTTATTTCTTCAAATTCTTCAAGACTTCTTCATGTTCTCACATCCTCTAAAAGCTTAAAAAAAAAATCATCTCAAAAGGAAGGAGACTCATTATACGGGTTCCTTTATGTAAACAAATTCATTTTTAGGCTTTCACAACTCTTTATATATTTGTAAATTACATTTATATACAAAATAGAAAAAAAAACTATATACGCCTATAAGATTAGTATACAAAATAATTTATATAAAACATCACATCAATAACATATAGTAATAATAAAATCATTGCTCCTTTTGAGCAACATTCAACTTGATCATACTTTTATTTATTTAAGGCACTATAGGAAATTTGCTCATTACCGGCGATTTTTGGCGGCGGTTTACTTGTAAATACCGGCGGTTCTAAATAAAACATGCGGCTTCTCGGCGGTTGTCACACCGCAAAAAAAAAGGTGCCCCCCCAAAAAAAAAAAAAAAAAACGGTGTCGGAAACTGTTGTCGGCGGCATTTTTCCGGCGGTTTATTTTACCGACGGTGTTCCGGCAGCATACACTGCCGGTTTTAGCTGGTGTTTTTACCAGCGGCTTCCCGACTGTCCAACCGCTGGTACAAAATATCGTTGTTTGACTGCCAGGAAACGTACCGGCGGCTAACCGACGGTGATAGCCGAAGGAATTGTCAGCGGTTGTAGCCGCTGGCGTGTCGCCGAACAACCGCCGGACAGCGTCAGTAAACCGCCAGTAAATACCGACGATTATAAGGGATATCCGGCGTCGTCAATCAGCCGTCCGGCATCGAAGTTTCCGGCTTCAATCAGCCGTCCAGTATCTCTGTAACACTTAACTTAGTATTATGCTTCTCTTTTATTGACCAAGATTTGACACCATAAAGCATTGCAGATCTCAACACCATCTTATAGAATTTTCCCTAAAGTTTGAGGGGAACTTTTCTATCACACAACAAGCCCGATTCATTCCTCCATTTCAACCATCCAACTTGAATTTTGCTGATAATATCCCCTTCTATTTCACCATCACTCTAAACCAAATCCAATATATCTAAAATATGTACTTTTACTAATTACTTGATCGTCAAAAGTCACAATCCTATCACTAGGTCTGTTGCTAATAAAATTACACTCTATATATTCAGTTTTAAATCTACTAAAGCGAAAACCTTTATACTCTAAAATTGACCTCCATAATTTGAGTTTACCTTCAACTCCCTCTCTAGGCTTATCAACATGTATAATATCATCAACAAAAAGTATACACCAAGGTACATCTAAGGCGACACTCTCTAATCTCATCATCAACTGGAGGTACTCCAACATTTCATGTATATGCTCATTCCATATTCTATCTCTACGGGTGAAGCCCAAATTAAGTCACAAACCGCTCACTAGCTCCATTGCTACTAAAATTACACCTCATATATTCAGTTTTAGATCTAGTCAAGTGAAAATATTTAGACTCTATAGTTGACCTAGTTTACCTTCAACTCCTTCTCTAGTCTAGTGAGAACAAAAAGCATATAAGTAAAATATCATCAACAAAAAGCATACAACAATGTACATTCTCTCGCAAATGTCTAGTGAGAACATCTATGACAAAATACATAAAAAAAAGCTCACCTCGGAGGCGGTGCACGGGAAATACAAGTTCGTCGGCGGCCTTGTAGTGGGGAGTTTGTGGGCGGCCGGTGTGATTGTCGGCGGCCGGAGATAGCTCGGTCGCGTGAGAGGGCGGGCGGAGGAGAGGGTTGAGCGCAGCTGAAGAGAGAGATGAGGAGATGAAATGAAATGGGAGGCTCGGGCTGGTTAATTTTAGGGCTTTTACCGACGGCGTTCCGGTAGCGCAAACCGCCGGTAATTAAATTACTTAACACCGACGGTTTGAGCCGCGAATATATCGCCGATAAGTTTTAAGGCGGGCGGTTTACCCGGCGATTTGGTGACCGCCGCTATTTCTGGCGGCATAAGCTTGCATAACGGCCGGTTGGGCTGCCGGTATTCACCGGCGGCCAAACCGTCGGATAAACCGCCATTAGTATCGGCGGCTAGACAACCGCCGGTCTAGGCCGCCGGTAATTGATGAATTTCCTGTAGTGAGGGGGGCTAAGCAGCATGAAACACTTATAAAATAATCATATATAAAGTTTAAATTTTAAATTTTAGATTGGTCATAACCTAGGATATTTGTCCACTCATCACCAAATCAATCACATCATATAACACATCCACCAACATCACTAAGTATACACAATAAACTCATTTAATAAGTACATAACTTAAAATAAAAAATCACTCCTAACCTAGACCTAGAGTTTGTTATCCTAATAAATTAAACTTAAAAGTGTGCTAGGCGGTGCGGGGGGTGAACCTAGTATGCTTTAAGCTTTTATTTTTTAGTTTACGGAGTCCGGACTGGAGAACCGACTGATTTTTGTTAAGTGTGCACAGTAAAAAACACAGTTAATGTTCATCACTGTGCTTTTACTGTTTACACTCACAAAAACCGGATGCATCTTCGGTCTGGACTCCGCACATAATAATCTCTATATTTGATTAGCCATGTCTACCCTAAAAGAATTATGCTTCATTTGAAAAAGCTTTTTATTGTTTTCTAAAATAATTTTCTAGCATATAAAAATTTAAAAGCAGTTAAAAAAATAATTTCAAACTTGAGCTCGTGTTAAGCATGACTTGAGTATAAATTTTGAACAAATAAGATCGTCCGCATAGGTTAGGCGTGTAAACAAGTCAAGTCGAGCTCAAGTCATGCTTAACAAGAGCTCGGCTCGTTGCCGAGATTGTGAGTTCGAACTCGGACTCAAATGGCCTGTTGAGCTCGGCTTGTCGCGATGGATGAGAGCTTGCGATGTATAAGGCTCTCTTCCCGCTCCAATCCCGCTCCAATCCCGCTTTCGCATAAGCACTTCCATGTGATCGCATCCACGCAGCAACTTCAACACTTGAGCAATAGCTTCCGCGCCTGTGTTCCCGCTTCTCTCTCTGTGCTTCCATGATTTCGTCTTCCGCACTCAAGCTACTCGACAGATAACTTAGTCAGGTTTCATTCAGATCGAACTCAAGCTTGAAACTCCATAAGCTCAGCTGATGAGTCCGTTAGGTCAAAGGCAACATAAAATTTCAACCGTTTAATCGATTCACGTTCCCAAGTCTTTTCTCAGCCCTGCGGCTTCGCCGCGTCGGTTTACGCTGATTCCATATTTTTCTAGACTTTTATAGAAAGCGCCTTCGTTGGAGAAAATAAGAACCCTGGAAATCTTGTTGGCCAAATTTCTATAGGGTTTCTCTTACCTTCCTCTTCTCCTCTATCCATGGCCTCCAGGTTTCTTAGATCCCGTCTCTCTTCCTTTGTGCGCGCCGCAGTTCTTAATTCCCACAAGCCCATCAATCCTCTTTCATCATCGCTGCCATCATCGTCATCACCTTTTCTCATCCGCCACATATCCTCGGCCGCTGGCCGCCGATACCCAGGTCGCCGACCTATCGACATAGGCGCTCGCGCCCGCCAGTTACAGAATCGACGCCTCTGGACCTACGGCCTTACCTTCAGTTGCGTCGCTGGGTTCATCGTAATCGTGCTCGCCAACTTCCAGGACCAGCTTCTTTTCTACATCACCCCGTCTGATGCCATGGCGAAGTTCACCGCCAATCCCTCCAAGACACGCTTCCGTCTTGGAGGTCTCGTTATGGAGGGAAGCGTCGTCCATCCGTCCTCCTCCTCCCCGGAGATCGAGTTTGTGGTCACCGACCTGCTGACCGACATCCTTGTCCGCTACGAGGGTTCGCTTCCCGACCTCTTTCGCGAGGGCCACTCCGTTGTGGTTGAGGGATTCCTTCGTCCGTTCTCGGCCGATGTCGGCGTCCATGCCGCTACCACTGGCCCGCCGGTAACGTCCAAGGCCAGGAGCCTCGATTGCTACTTCAGGGCCACGGAGGTGTTGGCCAAACACGACGAGAAATACATGCCTAAGGAGGTTGCTGCAGCGCTTGAGAAGAATAAGAAGAAGTTAGAAGAAGGGGAAGCTAAAGCCTTGGCATTGGAGAAGAGGAGTTGAGGAAAATGAATGATCCAGGTTTTTCCTTCCTTGATTCTTTTTGAAATAGGATGCTTGAATAGGATCTAGTCTCAGATCCCTTTTATTTATTTGCAGTTGAGTATTAGATTAATTGGTGTTATGCAGCACATTGCTGCGAGTTTGAAACCTGTTCAAATTTTCCCGTTGAAAATGGGTATATGCTGAGTATAAAAGCGAATGAAAAATTTATTTACTGAGATGCAGGCATGATACAAAATTATGTATTTTGATGCATAATTTGTAGTCTAAACAAAAATTTTTTTATGTGCGTTCTCATAATCAGGACCTTACTTACTTTGAAATGGGATGGTTCTCATATAATACTATGTGCCAATAATATATGAAGTATGCATTTAGTGTATTTACTGAGTTACTTGGACTAAATCATTCTTGAAAATGATAATAATACATGATATAAACTTTTAATCCTGTTGAGTTTTCAATTCCTTGATGCCCAATTAGTTTTAAACATGCTTTTTAATAAAAATTAATTGAGAGAAGTATCGACTAGATGTTGTCTTTTGTGTAGCATGTATTGGTTTAGCCTTAGGCTTCGTTTGGGATGGTTTTTTTTAATCCTGTTGAGTTTTCAATTCCTTGATGCCCAACTCGGTGCTAGTTTCTCGTTCCTCCAAGCAACTTTCCTCTGTCTGTAAGGGCGTAGTTTTAGGAACACCTTCTCTCCTACCTCAAACTGCATGTCCCTCCTATGTGAGTCTGTCTGCTTTTTCATGATTTGTTGTGCCCTCAGCAGATATTTCAACTCCTCCAGCACATTGTCCCTTTCCTTCAAGTACTGCTCAACTGAAGAAACTGGTGTGCTTCCCTTCCCATAGTGTACTAGGTGCAGGGGATCACTTCCATACATTACTTTAAAAGGATTCATTTGCGAAGCCGAATGGTACGACGTATGTTACCAATACTCAGCCCACGGTAACCACTTGGCCTACATCCTTGGTGTTTCAGAAGCAAAACACCTCAAATAGGTCTCCAAACTTCGGTTCACCACTTCCGTTTGCCCGTTTGTCTGAGGATGATAGGTGGTGCTCCTTTTGAGAGTCGTTTCCTACAACCTGAACATCTCCCTCCAAAAATGGTTGAGAAACACTTTGTCTCGATCAGACATAATGGACTCAGGGATCCCATGCAGTCTAACAACCTCCTTGATAAATGCTGCTGCTACTGACACCGCGGTGTAGGGGTGTCATAAGAGGATGAAGTGAGCATACTTACTAAGTTTGTCAACCACCACTATGATGACCGTGAATCCTTTCGATCTTGGAAGGCCTTTTATGAAATCCATGGTCACTTCCTCCCAATCTCTGTTTGGAAGTGCCAATGGTTGTAGTAGTCCTCCAGGAGCCATGACTATATATTTGTTCCTCTAGCACACTTCACACCTTGCTAGGATTTCCTCAACATCTTTATGCATCCCTTTCCAGTAAAGCTCAGATGCCAGCCTTCTATATGATTTTTGAACCCCTGAATGACCTCCCACTATGCTGCCATGGAACTCCTATAGCAAGTGAGGAATATGTATGGGGGTTCGAGGCATCACAAACCTCCCTTGATATAATAGTCTCCCCCTTCCATATAGTAACCCGGGTGACTACTCTTGTCTCTCATCAAATCATCCATGATCTTTTTCAACTCTTCATTCAGCATACTCTCTTCTTTTATGGCCCCCCCAGTCTACCATCAGTGGTACCGACATAGCTAACCCATGGAACTCCCCCACACATCTGGATAAAGCGCCAGTTTATTTTCCAAACCAGGCTTGTACTAAATCTCGAAATCATAGCCCAATAGTTTGGATAGCCATCACTAATGCTCCTCAGTCAACATCTTTTGCTCCAAAAGGTACTTCAAACTCCTTTGATTCATCCTGACGACAAAATGTTAACCCAAAAGATAGGGATGTCACTTCTGAATCGTCAAGACAATGACCATCAGATCCCTCTCGTACACTGACTTCAATCTTGCCCTGTTTGATAGCACTTGACTGAAGTATGCTATAGGCCTGTGGTTCTGCATTAACACTGTCCCCAACCCATATCCTGATGCGTTTGTCTCTACTACAAAGACCTGGCTGAAGTCTGGAAGAGCTAGAACAAGAACTGTGGTCATGACTTTCTTCAACCTCTCGAAGGCCTGAGTTGCTGTCTCTCCCCAAGAAAAGTTATCATTCTTTAGTTGCTCAGTCAAAGGTCACGCGATGGTATCGCACCCCTTCACAAACCTCCTGTAGTAGCCAGTCAATCCAAGGAAACCCCTCAACTCCCTTATGTTCCGAGGCAGCGGCCATTTCTGCATTGCTTCAATTTTGGTTTGGTCTGCCACCACTCATTCTTGAGATACCACATGTCCCAAGTACTCCACGCTGGACTGAGCAAAGCTGCATTTCTTCAGGTTGGCTCTCAACTGATTCTCCCAAGACCACCCTCAGGTATTCCAAATGCTCCTCCACAGTCTTGCTGTACACCAGAATGTTATCAAAGGAGACCAGGCCAAGATTCCTGAGGTACTGCTTGAATACCCTGTTTATCAAAGACTGAAAAGTATCAGGAGCGTTAGTCAATCCAAAGGGCATTACCAGAAACTCATAATGCCCTTCATGTGTCCTGAAAGCTGTCTTTGGAACATCTGCGTCCCTCATTCAGATCTGGTTGTACCCGGATTTTAAATCCAGCTTAGAAAACATCACTGCCCCATAAAGCTCGTCCAAGTGCTCTTTAATCACCGGAATTGGAAACTTATCTAGCACTGTCCCCTTGTTCAGAGCTGTATAGTCCACACAGAAACGCCAACTCTCATCATTCTTTTTGACCAGGAGGACTGGACTAGAGAAAGGACTCACACTTGGTCTGATGATCTCGGCTTCCAACATCTCGCAGATCAGCTTTTCAATCTCATCTTTTTGAATCTGAGCGTAGCGATTGGGACGAACGCTGATAGGTGTCTCCCCTTCAAAGTGATGGCATGCTCCAACTCCCTATGTGGTGGCAAGCCCTGAGGAGGTTGAAAAACCTCGCTGAATTGCTGTATGAGTGGCTGCACTGAAGAGGGAGTGTTTCCCTCTTCCTCCAGTCTGACCCATTCCAGGCGATGCATCTCTACCAAGTATCCTCCTCCCACTTATTCTATGGTCCTAATCATAGACTTGAGAGATACCCCAATCTTAGTTAGCCCTGCATCACCCTGAATCACCCTCTTCTTCCCCTTAACCACCAGCTCCATCTTCAATGTTCCCCAATTTACCTTGGTATCTCCCGAGGACTGTAGCAATTTCATCCCCAAGATGACATCGTTGCTTCCCAACTCCAAAGGAAGAAAATCCTCCCTCACCTGGATCCCCTGAATCATCAGCATTACTCCCTTACATACACCTCTGCCCATCTCCACCTTCCTTGTTCCCATCATCACTCCATATCCTCATGTGTCTACTAATTCCATTCCAAGCAGATCAACTATCTGGGTTGAAATGAAATTGTGGGTTGCCCCACTATCTATCAGCACCACTACCTCTTTATCAGTTATCTCTCCCTTCACTTTCATAATGTGATTTGGAGTGAATCTCACTATTAAGTTCAGGGAGACTTCTGCCACATCCAGATGCATCTTCTCTTCTTCCTCCATCTCTAACCCACTTCCACCTTCTTCAGCTTCCTCATCATCACAGACGGTGAGAATCTGAAGAGTTCGGTCCTTGCACCTATGCCCTGGCATGTACTTCTCATCACACCTAAAACACAATCCCGTGGCCCTCTTATGTATCTCCTTCTCAGGTAGCCTTTTGAAGTTTCCCCCATTTCCTCCTCTAATTTTCTCCTTGGGCACTTCCTTCTCACTCACCGGTACTGATCCCCTGGAAGGTAAAATGGTGGTGGTCACCCGGTGTGAGCCCCCTGAATAGCTGCTTCTAGCTACTCTCTCCATCTTCCTCTGTTCTTCCACCAACTGTGTCAGCTCCATGGCTTTCCCCAGGTTCCTTGGCTCCAAAACTCTAACTGTTGCCTATATCTTCGGTTTAAGCCCTTTTATAAAGTTTCCCTTCAAAGCTGTCTCTGAGATATGATCTAATCTGCTGGCCATGTACTCTAACCGGTCATGGTAATCGGCTACGGTCTCCTCCTGAGTTAAGGCAAAGAATTGCTCATAGAAGTCTCATCCACTATCGGCTCAGAAACGTTCTAGTAAGCTTTCTTTGAACTCCCTCCAAGTGTGGATGGGTCCCTCCTTTCAGGCCATTGGTACCATGCAAGTGCATTCCCTTCCAAACACTATCATGCCGCAGTTAGCTTCTCCTTCGTTAGCCTGTTAACGGCGAAGTATCGTTCCATCTTGTAGATCCAATCATGGCCGTCTTCGCCCTCAAAGATGGGCATCTTCAGCTTCCTTACTTTTGGGTCTCCCCCGTTTCTCCTGAATTCTCCATAACCTCCCATTCCTTGAAAAGGAGGTGCTCCCTAATTGTCACGATCTTCCCTCCGACGACTATACCCAAACCCTTCATCGTATTCCCCTATTCTCCCTTCCAAATCAGCACATTTGCGATGAAATTCTTCCCTTCTCCCGACGAAATCAGCACCCGTTCTGTCATATCCCATACTCATCTCCTCCCTAGAAAGAGGTTCTAGGGGAGGCACCCCGTCATCTCGCTCAAGGATCTCCATATCCGGATTCTCCCTCCCCCTAAACGGGTTCGGATTTCTCCCCCCTCCATGGCCATTGGTGGTTTCTGATGTTGCCGGATTTTGTTTGCTTTCCAGCATCTTCCTCATCATCTCTTCCAAGGTCACGAATCTCCCATCCATCTTTTCATAGATGGAAGCAAATTGGTTCTGAAATTCAGCATTTTTTTTCCTCAAAACCGGTCTTCAGTTGACCTATTTTTCCTTCCAACACCTCAACCTTCCTTCCGGCCATTTTCCTTCCCAAGATTTACGAAGAGATCTTCTTACGGATGGAATTACCTTGCTGGAATTTCAGACGGATGGAATTACCTTGCTGGAATTTCAGGATTTCAGCCTCCAAAGGTCCCAAGACAACGTTCTAATACCAATTTGATAGGAAATACTTGAGTTTGCAAGTAACCCTAAGGTAATACTTGAGTTCGCAAGCAAAACTAGCAAAATTTGGTGGAAAACAGTGGAGAAATCTGCTGTTTACCGCAGATTTTCAACAAAGACAGCAGCCT